TATGTATACATTATAATATGTATATGTAATATGTATATATAACATATTACAAATTTTGATATATATATATATATATATATATATGTGTATACACTTTTAAGTAATAGGACTTTAAAGTTATATGATATTACAGAGGATTAAAATGAAAGATTGACAGAACATTTGATGCTGTTACTTTTGTCCGAGACTCGAGTTAACTCTATTGCTAATGATATATATTTTTAATACTTGATACGTGCGTGTTTGTTCGCGATAGATCGCAATCGAAATAGTCGGAGTAAAGCCGGTCGTTTTATTTTGGCAAACGACGAGATAATATCCGCACGAAGTACTTTCTTTCGTAGCAAAGGTCGTTTGATAAAATGCCATTTTAACCGTTTTTAATGTCAATGAAAAGTATTAAATATGAGAAATAATATATAAGAAAGTTTATCGAAAATGTTCGAAGAAATTTCAATGGAATAAAAGATCTCACGTTTAAAAGCAACATTCACAATTTTTATTCTTTATTATTACGATGATACAAGAAGTTACGTTTAAAGTCATCGATTAAATAAATCTTGTCTTATCGTTCATTATTGATTGATTAATTGATACATTAATTTAATGGTAATTCACGTACGAAAAGTTAGGTCAAATAATGTAACGTTTCACGTAAAAATTCTGAATTCGCGAATAAAATTGATTTATTGTTAGTAACTTAGTCAAACTAAATAAAACGTACATTTTTCCATATTCAACGTTCACAAAAGTAGATATACGACATGAACACGAATCTATATACATATATATTCATGAGCATTTATAGTTTCGAAAGTCAGTGAATTGTCAATAGGAGTGCTGCGATTGAGAGTTCTTCGTGCAAGTGTATCGTAGCTTATCGATGAATTTATATAACTTGGTAACTCAAAAGTCTGTGAAATAAAACGATAACAAACAAACAAACCAAAAAAATAAGAGAACGAAAGTAAAAAAATGATAAATACTAAAATTATAAAATTATTCTAACGTTTTGGAGAAAAGACAGTTAAAAAAGAGACATCATGCTTCTTAAAAATTTCTTAGTCGTTTATCAAGAAGAAGAATTTTATTGTCTATGTTTTTTCGAATAATAATAAAAAAATTTTTTAAGCATGTTTGTTCGAGTTTTAGTCTAACACTTAGATAACGAAAAGCAACTCGTGCACCGTATAAATGGATTTTATCGAAAAATCATGTTTGCTAAGTCGTTCAACGTTATCGACTATTTTTCAAACGAGTTTATGAACTATTCAGACGTGACATTTACACGTTTTAAAACTCATATTTTTGTCTTTCTTTCTTTTTTTTTTATTTTTTTCTTTCAATCGTACGATCTCCTTACCGAAATTGATATGGAAGGTAAGAGCACGAAGGTGAATACCGAACCGAACATTGAGTTCACGGATTTGCCGTTATAGCGGTGCAAGCAGAAAGAAGGAATGGCTGAGCAGTCGATTGACCTAATTACGATGTGGATAATCGAGAGGAATACCGATGCAAAGGTAACATCCACGAAGCAACTTTCTTACGAAAGTTTGAGAAATGTAGTTTATGTCGAGAGTACCGTGTAAAACGCTATCGAGCGTGTTGAGATTGTTATCGATTATCGAATTAACATAAAAGAAAGAGAGAGACAGAAATAGGAAGAAGAAAAAAATAGAAAGAGAGAGGAAATACGATTTTTAAATACAAAATATAAGGCTAATATTTGTTGAATTGGTATTTTACTATAAGTATTTGTCAACATTTGTAATAAAATATCAATGTATAGTGGTCAATATTAACACTGTCAATATTAAAAATAGTATTGTATATTTCAAATAAAATGACAGTATTATCTTGCATCAGTATGTTATCCTGATGAAACTTTGCTTTTATTACAAATACTATGACAATCTAATTAAGATACTGCAAAAAATTGTGAAAAATATAGAACATTTTTATTTTTCGATGTCTGGCTAATCATTGACAAATTTATAAGTATAATTTGTTTAAAATTGGAACATAAGAAAAATCGATACGAAGTCAGGAAAAATTGTTGAAGTTATCTGTTATAATAATCAAGAAAATGAAAACGATGAGACGTACGATGCTGATGTTTGCGGAAATATTCGAACGATTTCGTACGATTCGAGGAATCGCAAGAAAAAAAAGAGTACACGCGTTCGATTATTCCATGAACGATCGACGAACATCGTGACACGCATGCACGTCGATCGTTCATGCATTCTCGCTTGCTGGGAGAAAAAATACAACGCGATTGATTCTCCGTAACACACATGAAAACTATGTGACGAAATAACGGTGAAAATCAATGAAGAAATAAATATTTAAGGCGCCAAAGACTAGATCAAATTGTTATTTTTCTATTTACTAGTAACTGGTTACATTATTATCATTTATAAGATATTTTTCTTCGTCAAATATAACGTTAATTTGAAACAATACCTAACTATGCAAGAAAATTGTAAATGCACTGACAATGATAGATTTTCAATTTGAGTTTTATTATTATTATTAATACAAATTTAATGAATACGTGTGTTTATAAATTAGACAATAAAATTTGCACACATTACTATGTTTATTTGATATAAATGAAATTTAGTATAATTAATTTGTAATTAAATTCATAACTTTTTATTTTCCTTTAATTTTCTTTCCTTCAATTTTATGGACACATTTTTGTTTTGTTTTTATAGTTAAATTAATATTTTTGCAAGTCAAGCAGCCTAAACTTGCTGTCGAATCGTAAAATTTTATCTGGATTTTACAAAAATACAAAGAATATAAATTTATTTAAAATACAATTATAAACATGCGGATTAAGGATATTTAAAATAACAATTGCAAATATTAAATGTGTTGCAATAAAGAAAAAAATATATCAAAATTTATGATAGTCAATGTGAATAAATATATAAAGTAGCCGAAAACATATGCCAACTAAAAGCTGAGCGAAAGTTTTTAAAATATTTTTGAAAATACCTTGATCAGCGATAAATAGAAGAATAATATACTGCGATGTGAAATTCCGCTGACATGAGTGAGCTACAACGAATCGCAACAAGGGTTACGAAATTGTGAAGATTTTCACGTAGATCGGAGATGGTAGTGGAGCGAAGCACGTGAGAGAACGAGAGAGGAAAAGTAACGTGCTACATTTCTTTCACGAGATCAGATCGAGTAAGAAAGGATGAAGTAAGTTAAGTAAGTATATAAGTGAGTATGTAACGATGGGAAGATATAGAAAAAAAAGAGAGAGAGAGAGAGAGGATAAAAATAAAAGCACGTGTCTCTCTTTCATCAGTGGGAAAAGATAAAAAAAAAATATAAGAAGGTGTGTAGGATGGACAAGAGCTTGTACAGTAAGTAGTAGCTGCACTAACAAACACAGCAATTGCCATAAATTTTCTTCTTCATCGTTTCGCGAATATGTTCCATATTTAAACATTTCTTGCCATTCATTTAACATCATTTTTTCTTCCGTCAAGTATATTTTAAATAAGTATATACGATGTCATTTGTATAATTAACTTGCTGATATCAATGTGCCAACTATCGTATGATTTAATGGACATTGTAAATCTTCAATTGTTCATAAGAAAAGACAAAGTGACCTATTAAATGTATTTATCGTTACGTTTAATATGTCTTACGTATCTAACTGTGTGCATCTGTAATATCAATTATTATACTTTGTAATATGTAAGAACGTAAAATATGTGGAAAGTTTTGTAAAATTCTTGATCGAGTAAATTGATAACTATTTAATATAATTGGTATCTATCGATCATGTATTTTAATACATTTTTAATTGATATTTGATATAACTGTCTATCAATATTTATCATTTAGAAATTTGTAAGTATAATAATAATTTTTAACTAATTTAAATAGTTTGTCAGATAAATAGTAACAAAAAACAAACAACATTAAATTGACAAATGATTCGATAACGAAATATAATTATTTATAATAGAAATAATATTAATACAATATTTTAGAGATAAATGTAGTATAACTAATAATACAATATTGTAAAATGATTGGTAATCATTTATCTCAGAAAATACTTCTTATTAATGAATAAAAAATACCAAACAAATAAAAAATACATAAAAGTCATTTAAAATCAATGCTCAACAAAGCGAAAGGAGGATGAATAAAAAATGAAAGAAAGAGAAAAGAAAAAGAAAATATATTATATATAATATATAAGAAAGAAAAGGAATGGCGATGAAGCGTAACGCGAAGTCGAGGAGAAATAATGTCGACACTATTCGAGAACGACGACGACGACGACGACGACGACAACTACGACGAAGAACTACGACGAAGACTACGACGAGGATCGTGACGCGCGTCGCAAAAGTCGATTATCGTTGCCGAAGAAACGAAAGGATTTCAGGTCGATTTCGTGAGTTAGAAACTTTCGTACTGGTCGCACGTCGAATGGAAATCGAGATCTTACTATACATACACATGGATACTCAAGTCATTCCTTTTTTCTTATTCGATAAGAAGGATTTTTTTTATTCTTCTTTAAATTTATTTCAATTGATCGAACAAAAATATAAAAATATAAGAAACATTACAAGGTATCTCAAAAGTCTCTTTATCGAACTGACAAAATTATTAACCTTTCTTTTTTTTTAGCAAAGTATCTGGAGATTCATTCATCTTGAAATGAACAAAAAATATTATAATTATATTAATAAATCAATATAAATTTACTTGGCACATAGCAGACAATGACTCGAATGTTGTTGCATTAGTTTATCGGCTTTATTATCAGTACTTGAAGGAGTTCGAACTTTGACACATAATAATAAATTAATATTGACTTTTTTTATTAGTTTATTTGTTTTTTCGATAAAGCGACTTTTTGGATACAATATTAGATGTTATACAATTATATATATATATATATATATATATATATATATATATATATAATACTTACGTGTAAGGTTGTTCCTCGCCACGCATCTCGCATATAACGTTCGTCAACGCCATAATATAATTTTTAGCCAGCGTTAAAGTTTCTATTTTGCTGAGCTTCCTCTCCATTTTGACGTGCGGTATTACTTCGCGTAATTGCTGAGAAAAAAATGATTTTTTGTTTTGAATATAAAATATTCATAATAATCCTTGTATTTGTCTTGAACAAATTCTCTGCGTATTGGTGTAAATTTGATGACTGAGGTAGAGGTAGGAGTTTTTAAGTTTTTTAAGATGCTCGAACTGGCGGATTACCTCGAACGCGTCGTTAAGCGAATGCATCCTCATTCTTTCTCTCTCGTTACTCTCGAGCCTTCTGAGATTTCTCTCGCGTGCTGAAATTCCGCTCTTCCGTCTCCGCGTCGTTGGCGGCCCACTGCGATTTCTTCTTTTCGCTTGCTTCGGACTCCTCTCGCTACCGCTACTGTCACTCTCTTCGCCCACCTTGGATTTTTTTTTATCGGAAACAAATAAACAAATCCCAATACTAGGTTATTCATACATTTATCCTTTTATTATTGTAGGATTCGTGACAAAATTGAGCCGTTGGATTGACTGGATCTAGACTTTGAACCCGGATCTTTCATTTTCCGAGCAAATGCTCTTATTTATTAAACTATCCAAGGCCTTCGGTCAACTTTCTCACAAATACCTATTTCATTTATATCGATCTTACGTTTTTTTTTTTGATATAAATAAAAGAATTTTCTTTTTTCTTTCGAAAACAATGAATTAAAAGAACAAATAAACCACTGATCAAAACGTTATTCGATTACATCTTCTTTTTGGTACAATCAATCGGATTGATAACGTCCATATGTTCGATAAGATTCTATGAAGATTTACAAAAAATTGTTCTATTATCAATAATCAACGATTAAATTTATTGTTAGATTATGACTATTACATAACACAAGTTTTCTAATCCACCGACAATAATAGTACAATTTTAATATAATTTTATAACGTGAACATTTCTTTTTGCATTTTTTTTTTATGAAGGAATGAAGTGTTTAGAAGAGAGTGAAATAGAAACATGATTTTATTATTCAGCTGTATCATTCCTGTTAAGTTTTTTATAATGATTTTGTCGAACAACTTATTTTTATAATAACTTTCGAAATCGAGATTCGGTTGATTGCGAGCGAGGAATTAAAATACAATCTGACGTTCGTCGAACGAGCATAACAAATTCTCAAAAGGAAATTGATAAGATTAAGAATGTCGTGATATCTAACTTAATTTGTCACAGTACTTTGTTGCATATAACGTTTACTGATAAAAAAATTATTTATTAACCAAGGAGCTATCGAATGTTTAAATCATTTATTCTCTTAATGGTTTTTAAATCAAATTTTTCAATTAAAGTTCTTAATTAATATATTATCGATTATATTTTTTTAATGATCGTTTATTAAAATATTATTTATCATCTACAATTATAATTTCGTATGTTCCGTTATATCAAAATTGCAAACACCAAATTGTAAATAAAAATAATTTATGGATTGCAATTAATAAATTCATTTCTTATTATTTATTTTTCAAAATGAGAGAAGAATTTCCTTTAATTAATACAGTGAACGATGTATCATTTTATTTTTTCTATAAATTTTAAGGAATTTAAATTAAAAATTTTTTTTTAATCATCCCTTAAATTATCGTTGATGAATAATGAATATGAAAGGATACGAAAAGATTATTTTTTATCGACAAAAACAAAAATACCTCGGTGCCAACAACATGATGTCGACTTCGTTTCCCTGTAAGCGAGTCAACGGAAGCGTCGTCTAAATCGATGTACATCTCCTGATCACCACAATCCTGATCGCTACCAGACAATCTTTCCAGGCTTCGCATTATCTTGACAAAAGCCGTGTGACACAAGCCACCTGCTGAAAAAGAGAAGAAAAAAAAAGATGTCGATAATTCTACGAAGATATTGAAAGAAATATATTAAGCTCAAAAATAAATTTTAATATTAATGTGTATTACTTGCTTACGTATTACACATTAATATAAATGAAAAAACAGAAAAAGAAAAAGAAAGAGAAAAAAAAAGAAAATAAGGAAATTCATATTGCTATCGGAACATTCGTCGTGACAAATTTACACAGTTTGCTTTATTATTACGCCATGAACGTTGTGTAATATTGTAGCAATAATATTTCTCTAGTATGTCAATAGCTTCGATAATGGCAAGATGGACACGGTTGATTATGAAAGTATCTAAACGGCCTTTACAATTCTATGACTTTCTTAAAACAAAGCCGGTAGTTGACGTGTTTTAATGGACGATAAATGAAATGAAGAAAAAAGAAAATAAAAAGAAATATCCCCAAAGAAAAAAAAAACGAAAAACAAAAAAACAAAAAACAAAAAATAGAAGAAAAGAAATTTTTTTTAACGATTTTCCATTTTGATTTTTAATAAAAATTCCAATACAAAAATAACTTAATATATTCATGTAAATACGCGAAGACAGTGGTTCTATACTATGACAACGATATTAATGATTAAGAATAATGACAGAAATAATAGATAGGCTTGTAGTTACTTGCTCGTTACACATATGGTTGTTCTGGTAATAATGTTTCCTACAGGTTATCGCACTTTCGATAGTAACAAAGAAAATGCTTCGTAAGATAAATTCCATCGATCGTATCTCTTCGCGAGGTCGAATGCACTCGTAAATAAGTAAAAACGTTCGTTCACATAAATATGTACAAATACACATATAATTCTCAATCTGGTTCAGGATAATTTGAACAGTTTTTATAATGTAATCGTGAATCGTCGCTTATCGATGCCATAAAACGGATTTGATTTGTTTGTTATACCTCGTAAAAGATAGTCAAGGATATGATTTTTTATGAGTTTAAGTTATTAATATTATTCTAATATACGGGGAGGAGGAAATAACAATTTCAAATCGAGGTCATCGAATGTAATTCTGTACTTATATTTTACGTTTTTTACTACTAACCAATTATATGTTCGATGTGTTGTTAGAATGATTTTTCTATGATTTCATTAATCTTATTAAGAATTGTATAAAAAAAATTATATCGTACTTCCGATCAAGATATAGATTTTTGTATTTTATAAAAAACAATGAAGAATATTTATAATAATGAAAAAATAAGAAAGATAATATATTATACTTCTGTGTAATTGAGATATCGGTCTCTATATATATCTTATTAATCTTGACATCTTCCTCGACAATTCAAAGAATATCGATTGTACGAAGTGCACTTTAAGATAAAGAGATATTTACTGTCAAAACTCTTCTTAGAAAATCTTAGAAAATATAAAAGAGAATGAAAAGGAAATTGTACGCTAGAAACGAAACAAGAACTATTGTACTTATTTACTTACTTACATACGCTCGAACTTTGTCGTTTGATATGTAATACATATGTAAGTAACAAACGTAGGAGTGAAAACGTTTTGATGAAACGAGAGATAAATCGTTGTGGGGATCTCCCTGAAAATCTTATTGTATGTACTTTAAATCGTCTTTTGAGACGATCAAAGACTGTTTTGCCCACGAGCAGAGGAAAATAGTAAAACAAATAAAGTCTTGGGATAACCCGTATTTTTTTCACGCGAAAATCAAGAATTTCTTCTATTCATTTTTTCACGCTTTTTAGATAAATAAAATCTGAATAAATAAATAATCAGATAGCGTTTATATTCGATTTAAATATCAAATTGTAAACAAAATATTTTTTACCATATTAGGTTACAATTTTCTACTCTATCAGGTCAATAATCTTTTAATTTTGTTAACAATTTAATAATCAACGATATACAAAAGTTGAACAATTTGGAACCGGTTTGAATCAACATTACACGGACTTCGAGTTCAAACTTTATATTAATTCTTAACTAACCAGTTCTCGAAAGTGGAATACTTCTATCCATTATCGGACGTTGGTTTTTCATTTTCTCAGGGCAAATCTAGAATATGTGTCATAATCGCAATTTACGTACGACCACCGACTTTCTTGCAATCTCCTGTTGCAGAGGATATCTGAAAAGGTTGGATTACTCGATGATTATGGATTATTAATGACTGATTAATAACCTCCTTAGATTTCTTGCGATTCATCATTCTGATAATGTTAGTTAATTGGTTGACATTAATAATAATAAATAACTATAATAAATATGAAATATGAACTTCTATTTATTTAATAAACATTTATAAGAATCTTTGATCAATATATTATAAAACAAATGGTCAATATATAAATAAATACTTTTTTTTGAGGAGAGTGGTAGAGGTAAATAAGAATTTATCATTGTTGTACCAGTGATTACATATTGATATATATACTCTAATATTTTATTATAAAAATAGTAATCATTAATTTAGCATATTAAAATGGCAATCTAAAAATGAGAAAATTAGGGGAAAAAAAGATGATCGCGAGTTGATCGAGAAAGGAAATGTAAATTCGATCGAACAATCTTAGTTTTTAATTGGTTTCCAAGTAGATGATTCTTCAATTCATGTCAGCTGTTCATAGAAAGATGGTACGATACTTTCGACTGACTGTTGTGAGTGGAAGAAACCTCGATTCGCTGGGATCCGTCAGCTAACTAACTAATATAAGAGGAGAAAGGTATTTTTGGCTCCTCCAACGAAACGGCTTTTAAATGTGTCGCACTATTATTAAGGTCGCTTCATAGACTATACCGTACGATCGTAAGATAACGCATTGTCGAGACGAATGTGTCTGCTTGCCGTCTTTTTACACCACGTCCGCCTACTGTCTTTCCACAGACGTAAATAGCGAGAGAATAAGAATCCATAGGAAATCTTTTCATATGTCTGTTAACTTTCATTTTAAATGATTCACCGTTGACCTCAAATTTATACATACCTATTTACATTTAGCTAGGGTTGCTCTATTTTATAAAATCTAATATAAAATATATAACACGCATAAATACATACACATTAGCAACACTTGAAAGCTATGTTTATTTCGTATTTTTAAACTCATTTCCATTTTCGTACTATTTCGTTTTTAAATCTTGAATTCATTTAATGCACTTTTCTCATTCGTTTAATAAATATTTTTTATATATTTATTTTTTAATCAGGATTTTTTATAAAAACAAATGATCAGCATTCATGAACATTTTCTTTTAGTGTAAGTAATAATTTATATGGATCGTGTGTTGGAGTGTCAGTTAACAATAAAAATAAAATCTACCATTGCAACATTGATTAAATATTTTTATTTATTTATTTGAAGCTTTAGTATAAAAAAAAACGAGAAGATTTTCCGGTACTATAAATTTTATGCGATCTTAGGATAGAATAAATTTGATTATCATTCTTAAATCAACACGAGAATTATTTCCTTGGAAATAAATGAAAAAAAGGAATAGATAAATGATAAAAAGTAAACAGGATACATGCGGTCCTCCGGTACTCAACGAGATCGTACTCACGTCCGTATAGATCCGGTCAGTGAATTCATTCGGGTGGAATGCAGTCGGCGTCCTTTCCCAAACGTTACCGGTCTTTACGTATTTCGCTTCTCGTCGCGTCTCGTCCTACGCACGTGAATACTTTTCATGCACATTACTACAAGGGAATGCAAACGTCAAGATCTTTTCAGACGAACACGAATGAAATTATTATCGTTTGTTTATTTGTATTTTCTTTTATTTTTATTTTTGTGAAACTTTTCGAAATGCATCGAGTTTTGACAAAAATCTACAAAAATTCGGACTCGCAAATTTGTCTCGAATTTCCTTATAATACGATTTGAAATAATCTTATTAAATTAGAATAAGGAAAAAGAAAAAAAAACAACAAAAAGCAAGAGATTTCGATCGCGAAAAGATTTATCCCAAAATTGTGGTTTCCTGCTTTTGATATAAAAAGCTCATACACTATCTACACTATCCAGGCATAAGGAACGTTTGTTATATTAAATTTCAGCATCAACGTTTCGCTCAAAGTATAATTCTCTAATTACCGAAACGCGTAAGAGTGTTAAATGTCATAATTAATTGGACCGAAATACAAAATACAAAGTACTGTTTGTTTGTGCACAGTGTTAAACTCTCGAATATAACTTTTAACGATTTCTTTTTATATTTTACAGATATTAACCTCCTTATTCGACTAAGTGAAACTTATCTTATACTTTAAGTTATTTTTTTTTTATTTTTTGTTGTTGTTAATTAATTGCTTTCAAAGAAATATATAATTAAAATGAAAGAGGTTATTCAAATGATCCTCTAGTCATTCATAATTTTAAACACAAAAAAAAAAGAATGAACAATTACTTATATTAATGTAAGAAATAAATAATTACCTTAGCAGTTGACTTATTTTCACAATGTTAGATGCTTTATTTCCACTTTTTTGTCATGTCCATGAGTCATTCGTATTTACAAGTCTTGTAATTTCAGAAGATTCATCGATTTTACTTCTTCTTTCTTTTTTTTACCACAAAATCTTCCGATTTCCTTTTATCAAACAAATATTCCACAGCATGAACTATAGATCTTGTTGATTTCTTAAATAGAATTTTATTTCCTCTTCTTTTTCTATTTTGTTCTCAGTTCAGGAAATTTTCGTTAAGTTTCTTCGTCATTCCTCGAATAAAAGTAGTTTACCTCATTTCCGAATTCTTTGCAGTGTGTCAATGTTGCACCAATACTTGTGTGATGAGGCTATTCCATTTCTACAACACGTGCCAGATTATTCAATATTGATAAGAGAGAATTTTTTTTATTACAATACGAGTATACTGTTATTCAATTTTAATCTATCATTTAAGATAAAGGATTTAAAAAGTTAGATTTATATCACACGAATCTTTTTGAGTAGAGATCGATGATCGAAGGAACTTCCATACACGAATGTAAATTTAGGACACCTGTTAAGAAGTAAAAAAAAATTTTGAAATGCTATTTATATGTAAAATAACGAAATGTTTTTCTGTTAAAATCGAATAGAAAATTTGTCGAATAAATGTTAATCTATGCTGAAGTAAAGAAGCAAGGAAAAGAAAAAGAAGACAAAATAAAAAAAATAAAATAAAATGGAAGAATAGAGGAAAGAACGCGGAGTAAATTATTCTCGTCGAGTTTGATCGTTAAATTATACCGGCGTCAATTTTTGCATTCCTAACGGAATTTCACTTGGAGAATATAACGAAGGACTTTCTTCATTTTATTGTAACTGGTCGGGCAACGTTTTATAAACTGCATCGGAAACTCGCGTTCGACCTGTTGCCTATTATGAAAATAATTGTCAGTGTTGTTCTTATATAACTTATGTCCAGTTGATGTGAGAAGGAAGGATATTAATTTCGAGATAAAAAGATGCGTTTTATTCATTTACAAGACAGAAACATGTAGAGGAAAATCGTCTCGATCGACAATGAGTTTAATTGAAATTCGATCGAATCATTTAGACTTCTTATTTATATGCTATAAAATATATATAATAAAGTTTACGTATATTATATATTTTTACAAATATATATACAAAAAAAGTTCTTTGAGAGAAAATTATTTTCAATCGTGAGTTGCAAAAAGATATTCAAATAATATCATTTCAAGTACCTATAAACAGGTATAAACACGTTTATACGTTATTGCTTGTCGCGCGTTGAAAGTTTGCCCAAGAGAATTCTATTTAATTCCGTAATTATGTGCTTGAGGAATAATTAATATTAAACCTATTGACAGTTTATATATAATTATTTATATCGTAATCAGTCAAGTGATAGATCTTTAAAAAAAATAACATTTTTTACAATTAAATATGGATAATAATCAATTAGGTATTGACTTAAATAATAAATAAAATATTGTAATATTTATAATAATTATTATTGTTAACACAAGATATACCACCATTTTCAGTATACCTATTTCTACTACACTAGTCAAAATGACTGGTGTATAAAAAAAGATGCTTTTTGAGGGTTCCAGTCTTTATTTACTCTTAAAAAATAACAAAAAATCTTTAACAATAATAATTTTAATAGATAAATGGATTTATAGACATTTTTAAATAACAAAACGCTTAATTATTTACAGAAATCAAATGTTACATGAAGTAGACATTTTTAATTAAAAGTGTCCGACCAATCAAAATGACTGGTTTGGTATATCTAGTGTTAAAAGTCAAGTATGAAAGAAAGTAATAATGTAGAATATAGAATTTGAACAAGTTATGGACGAATAAAAAGAAAGATAAAGAAAAAAGAAAAGAAACAGATAAGAGAAAGAGAAAGATAGTAGAGAGTACTCGAGCTACGAACGAGATTCTCTTCCTTTCTCCTTTCACTCGTTAATTTTTTTCGCGAGACGCCTCCGTCTAGTGTACGGCCTTCGCGATCCAACAGAGATCGGTGAGAGCCGGGACTTTTTGACGATTTCATGCTGCGTTTCTTTCAAAATCGAACGCATCTCCAAGGAATTTGAAATTAACGAGACTGTGTCACTAGCTGGTTAGAATAGCAAGCAAGCTATTTAATTAAACGAAACCAATCGAAAATGTAACATCGATAGTTTTATCGGTTTGCTTGTCCAGGTGTAAAGCAGATAAGGCGTCTGTTGACGTGCAAATCGTGTGTGGTAATTGAACGAGGAATGACAAGTAAGAGAAAGACGATGACGGATAAGAAAGAGAGAATAACATTGATAACGATGAAGAAGAAGACACAGACGAAGTAGAAGATGAAGAAAATAATGATGATGACGATTAGAAGGCAGGAGGAGGAGGAGGAGGAGGAGGAGGAGGAGGAGGAGAAGGTGAAAGAAATACATAAAGCGGGGAATTCAAGGCGTTTGAGCGAACGTGCGCGTAAACGTACGCGCAACATACGACCGCGGGGCATTAACGTCATTGTTATCATCGTTTGTATTTTCCATTTCCCATTTTCAGTCCGATCGTCTCTAAGAGTAGTGTTACGAGGTCATATCCGCATAAGAACGATAGAGCTCTAGCTCGAGTGTCTCTAACAATAATAAATCTTATCTAAGTATATGATTGTACCTTTTCTTTCTCTTTTTCTCTTTCTTTCTCTCTCTCTTTCTCTCTCTCTCTCTCTCTCTCTCTTATGATTCTTTCTTTCTTGCTCACTCACTGTTTATATGAATAGATATATTATGTAGTCGTGATTTTCCTTATTAGTGTATAAAGATCATTTGAGAAAGAGAGAATATATGAAATTGAAAATATTTTCAGTGAAATGTTGCTATCATTAATATGCGATTATTAAAAATATGAAATTCGTAGTCAAGCGTGTACAATAGAATATGCGTTGTATCATAGATGGAAATCATTCTTGATCGGTCGTTCTCCCTAGCGTACACGGACTTTCATATAATCAAAAGAAACCGGTAGATCGTTCCTTCACAGTGGAAGTAAGTACTTTCACGAGTGCGTTGTCTACGACTTAGCCGTATCGTTTTGGTTGATCTCGAAAACTTCTATGTGAGTAAGTATCTCTTTCTCTCTCTTTTTCTTTCTTTTTTATATTTTTCTCTTCCCCTCTCTTTCTGTCTTTCTCTCTCTCTCTCTCTCTCTCTATTCTTGCGCTGCTTTTGTTGGAAAGACACACAAGAGAGTTCTCGGTTAATTTTTCATTTGCATCGAACTTGTCCGCTCAAAAAAAAAGGAATCCCGCCGATGAAACCACGAACTAATGCGTTAGAAAGTGCACTTTAAATGTCGGCTATACTAACTAACAAATGAAAGAACGAACGAAGGAACGACAAACGAAGGAACGAATGAACGAACAAAGTTACGAGTTAAATAAGCACCATCGGTGTGTAGTACTTTTACTTTCGCTCTCGGTAGCCGAAGAAGGTAGCAATTTCGCTCGAATTCCAGGCGAAATGGTATTTTGTATTATGCCCTAACGTGCTTTTTTTTTCTTTTCTTTCTTTTTTTCTTTCTTTCTTTCTTTCATTCATTCATTTACTCCTTTTTTATATTCCTTTTCTTTCTATTATAATTATAATCGCGCGTTCGACGACAACAACAATGACGAAGATGTCTCTGTTCGAAGTTTCCGTGCGAACGCGGATAATGCTAAGGAATAAATTTAAATAATGATACGCGAGCCGAATAATTTGATGCGATGTATTCGGACAACTCGTTTCTGTTCCTCCTCTTCCTCTTTCTTCACCTCATCTTCTTCTTCTTTTTCTTCTTTTTCCTCTTTTACTCTTCCCTGCTCCACTTCTATCTCTTTCTCTCTTACATCTTTAAATCCTCGTTCTAATTATATCGACAACGCGCGTACATACTTTATCAGAGAGACCTATCCTGCAGCTGCTGATTTAAAAGTCGTTTTGCGAAACTATCTCTTTCTTTCTCTTTCTTTCTCTTTCTAAGATACACTACAAGTAAGTACAAGATGTGTCGTCTCTATTAGGAAATCATTTTTATACTATTATACATATTCGTAAAGAGATTCCTACATATCCCTAAAAATCTCGTCATAGATCGAAACGTCAAAACTGTTGTTCCTTGTTATTTCGCCAAATAGAAGGAATACAAATTTAGAAAAAGTACATAGACAAATTAAAAAGAAAAAAGAGAATAATAATAATAATAATAATAATAATAATAATAAGAAGAAGAAGAAGAAGAAGAAGAAGAAAAAGAATAAAATAGAAGGTAACACACGCGTTTTCATTTCTAACGTTAGCTAAAACTTGGCGCCGTACCGTTAATCGTGCTGGATACTATTTCCTTTTGCCGGAGGCTCTGCCACTGGAACGTAGTATAAATGAGGAAAATAATCACGAAAAAGTAAAGAACCAATAAGAGGAAGGAAGGAAGGAAGGAAGGAAAAAAAAAAAGGAAAAATAATAACTAATAGATAGATATGCGCCGACACTGTTCACTTGTACTATCTGCACGGGCACGTATTATTATTATAATATTATATACACCTGCCTCCGCATGAAGTTTTCTATTCGACACTACGAGATATTTAATTTGAAAAAAAACAAGCGCTACGAATAATCGCACCTAACCGAGCGCCCGATCCGGACTGACTATAACTGTAAAGGATCGCTTGTTTCTGCCGAGCCGTCAACCCCCACTTCTTTCCTTTTCTTGCCGCCGACGCCACCTCCGCCACCGTCACCACTGCCACCTCCGTCACCGCTCTCAGTAACGACGAAACAGATCGCTTGACCCCCACTACTACACCAACACTCAAGCAAGTATACTACCGGCCTGGCATAGGCTTTACCGAAACCAGTTCTCCCTGTTAACACTGTTGTTCGATGCTGCTTTCCACCTCCGGCTTTGAAACAACTCTCCAAACTCGCTTCGGACCCGTTTCGAACCGTTTCACCTGCTTGGTCACTCTTGTCCGATCTCTTCGAGCTTTTTCCTTACCCCTCTTTCTTCGTCATTATTTATACCTTCTTCCCTTTCACATCTAAATAAGAGCTTTTTTTTAATTTGTTCTCGTACCAAAAGTAAGAGCTCGGGTATTGAAATTGTTGAAAAAAAAATTTAAAACAATGAACGAACAAAACAATGACAAAAATGAGAAACTCGTTAACTTTCACTTCAATAATGGGTCCTGTTTTTTTTATCACGAATTCAATATTGGACAGTTTGGTATGCCTTATTGCAAATATAATTGTGGTATTTAGAAATTATCGTCGTTTGTTCTTTTTGTCGGTAGGTTTTCTTCTTTTATCTTCTTTTTATAGTGCGATTGAAATGATATATAAAAAATTTTATGTGAAAATTAATTATTAATTATAAATTATTGAGATGAGATTCAAATTAGAGACGACATTTACAATTAGATTCGATTTAATCGTAGAGAAAGTTTGATGGCATCCACAAATATATTTCTAGTTGAAATTATGTTGGCGAGTGTCCTAAGAATGATTCACGAATTTTACGGTATTTGTAGGCTAGCGCTAGAATTTGGGATACACCAGTTGTAAAACTAACGGATCGTGTAATAAAAAGGATCCTTTAAACTATGTCTGCTATCTGGTGTTACTACATCCGAACAAAAAAACGACTTTTACGATGGTCAACGACATCTATATGGAATTTGCTTTCTTGCCACGTTATGCAAACAACAAAGATAGTTGCAATTATAGTATTTTTAAGTCAAATTTTCATCATGAGAGCAATCAAATAATTTCATCGATATAATTCAATCGTAATTATTTGTCATTAGTAATTAATTAGAACGTAATAAGTTTTATGTTATTCCAATAACCCTAATCATCTTGAAAAATATTGTATGAAAAAATATCTCCACTTAAGCGCCTGTAAAAAATCGCTCTACTTGTTATTAGAAATTGTTAAACAATGTAATTTCTTTTTATTTGTAAAAAAAAAGACAAAGTTTTAGTCTCATCAAATAGATACATCCTATATATTTTGTGTTACTATGTCAAATCAAAAAGTTGCTTTTAAAGATGGCTAACGATGTGTAGACGGAGTTTGGTCTCATGGTTCGTTGTGCAAGCAACAATGGTTGTCGTGGTTATCGTGTTATATCTAACCACAAAAAAGTCACATAAAACTGATCCACCACATCGGACGTCCTTAAACGCGGTCTATGAGAAATAGAAAGCCGATGGTTACAATATATTAATGCTAGATGTAAATTTGAAATTTAATCGCGCATGTCGTTAACCTTTACCGTATCGCGAATTAATTTATTATATTAGATAAGAACATATATACATGAAAAATATAATGAAACTAAAAAACAAATAAAAAAAGTAGTGGAAAAGATAAAAATAAAAAGAAAAGATATAGGAGATATTGAAAAAAAACTTTCACACCTAAACGCGATATCAAAAATTACAGGTACACCTGTTGCAAAGAATTTTTCTATACCGTATGTGCATTGGCCGTGTAAATTCCCGTAATATCTGTCGACGCGTTAAGCACGTTTTATGGTTGACTAGATCGTACGGACATTCGGGAGTCAACTGTTACGTATATTTAATTACCCGTTTGCGGGCCATACGTTGCGTATCTACATAATTCTCCCATTGATTCGATAGCAATCGTTGCTTGCTATTATATCGAGACACGTGACACAGATACGTCGTTTGGGTGAATGCGATTACGTATTAACTTGTCGCATATTAAAAGAAAAAAGTCATTGTCGAAAGAATCGATTTGCAGCGATAAGTATAAAGTTAAATTTTCATTTCAATTTATATTTCATTGAATCTAAATAAGTTAATAAATTTTAATACACAATATATTTGGTATATATTTAGTATACGTTATTTCTTTTATTTTATGTTTCATAGATATAAATTTATATAAATGTATATATTAAATTAGAAAATATAATTATATAGATATACCCCCTTCTATAAAATACAAATTAAAATTTAAAAGCATAGAGTATTTTTTTTTCGTTCGTGTATTTTGATTTTATCGTGACATACACTATATGTATATGTATACACTTCTCAAATGATACGTACGTACTTGACAGCACAAGCAAATGCATCTTATCGGTCCCACGAACTTTGCATAACTTTGACATTGTAGGAAATCCTCTTCACGTTAACTTCTAGACAATTAGCTGTTCTGTTTCGATTGTAAACAATAACGTTTATCTCTTTTCACTCTTCAAAATGAAATGAAGACTCGAAAAAAGTCAAATGTTTTGTTCAATAATGGTATATGTTTAGAGATAAGAATACCGAGTATGTATATTTTGCTTACCGGTGTGAAATAAAAAATAATGTATGTTCTTTTAAAATCCTAAACATTGTCAATGACTTAGCAACAAGAAATATAATTTTCATCGATTTTTAGAAAAAATAATTAACGACGAGATACTGAAACCTGTTGTATATATGTAGTACTTACCTAGTACGAAACATGTTATTACGAAAAAATAAACAAAGATTTTTTTCAAGCATTATCTATGACGTTGATTCGCTTAACGGCAGTAAGTCAAGTGGAGGAATTTAAATTCATACGGTCTTGCATACATAATGACAAATATATCAAACGGAAGTAGTCGCTATGTGATTTTTTTTATTCATTGCAAAAATACCATTTGCACCGATTCTTTTCTTTTCTATTATTTATAAGTGTTACGTTTAAACGATTGCATTATATTATAGTTACGATGAATTACAATCCTATTAAGTTAATATATTTTTTTTATTTGGTGATCTGTATTTTAATTAAGTTGTCAATATTCATAATAAATTATTAACATTATTTAAATAATATAATATTATTATTACCAATATATAATCTTGAAGTAATGCTTATATTAGTTTATCCCTATCATAAATAATATTAACAATCTATGGAAAATACTGATAAATTATTATTTGCACTAAACAACATATTAGTTTAACATGTAGCAAATAAATACCTATCTTACAAAATACTGATAAAACAAATTTTTAATAATAATGAAATAAATAAATGATTGATTATTGTCTATACAAAAAAATAACAAAATTTCATTGAAGATGCAAATAAATATGTTTTTTTTTGTTCTGTCTCTATCGAACACACGTGTGCATGTGATAGGCGAGATCATTTACCTAAAGTCGAAAGTCCTTTTCCTCTTTCTCGCTATCTTTCTCTAGATATCTTAAGCTTTTTACAGAAAATAATCAGTGCGTGAAGGCGACTAAGAAAGTTGACTGTTAGCGATAGGTACTTACACGAGTTACAAAAATTTCAGCGTTCCCATACTTCAGCCTATCTCGAACAAATGAATTGAACAGGAGGAAGGAAAGAGCATCTACGCGTGCTGCTGATAAGCAAACTATATCTAACAATCAGATAAGGTTTTACCTCTCTGGGAATATATTTTTATTTTTCCATGAACTTTGGGAAGCACCGATTCGTTATTTGTATTTTACTGACTTACTTTTTTGACGTTAATTAACCAAATTTTATCAAAGTTTAATCAGTATTAAGAAATTTCTTTAAATCTGTGTGATGTTTTTCAATATCATTAATAATAATTTGAATAAAATAAAAATTAATTAGCAACATCATAGAATAACTTACTTGTCGTTTCATTGCTTACAATGGATACATCCGAGTATTATTTTTTAAAAATCGAAGGTAAAGTTAAAGTCACGGTGTATGCGAGTAACGAGGCACACAATTCTATTACGCAAAGTGCTATTAATTTGAATGTTGAAAAAGTGAATATATCACCTTGCTTTTATCTCTTACGTTAAAAAAAAGATACAAAAAAATGTCAACTTTACTACTCTTTTACTACTTTATTAATCCTTATGATCGGAATAACCAGTTTGCAGTTTGCTCCTGTAAGTAGCAATGTAAGACAAACATAAACGGCCACTTCGGATATATGAGAACGAGTCATGTAGAACGCCTACGCAAGGGGTTAATCTCGTCCAACGATTAATATGCAGCAGGTGAATGTTAAAAAGTATACGTCAAACAAACCCGACTTCTAAGGCTATAATTTCTAATATTTCCGTAAGTGATCATTTTCCCTACGTTCCGCGTCTATCTCATATCTGTATTTATGCCATACCTATAATATTTTTTTATCAATTCTATTTTTTTCTTCACCTACGGAGAGGTAAATAAATCATATCAGTTTATATAATAAATAATATATTTATAAAAACTATGCAGAAAGTAGTCTTTATACTACATTACTAACCAGTACTGGTTACTATGGACAATGTACAATAAAATTGAATTATGAAATGTCACATATTTATTTAATCAGGATTTATAATATAAGCAGAGTTGCATCGGGGTTGCGTATCGATGCAATGTATATATTACACATTAATATTATATTATATTATCAATATTAATTATAGATTTAAAATATTAATTAAAATTTGCTCAAAATACAGATTCAATAAATAGAAATTATAAAATATGATCAATTATAATTTTTCATTTTTATGGTATTTATACTCTAAATCGCTTATATATATATCTAAACCAGAAAGTGATATAACTATTGCTGTACTCGTTATTCTTTTTAAACCTTAACCAAAAATATTCACGTCTCGTACAGCAAGATATCACTTTCCAGTCTTGACACACAAATGGCCGTATATTCCTAAATGGATAGAATTTATTTTTATTTTTTTAGCTTTTCTAGAATTCGAAATTTCAAACTTTTCAGTCACTAATCACAAATATTAATATCATCGATGTAAACATCTTTAGCGCATAGTTAATTAAAAGAAGAAAGCAGTTGAAAAAGGTAACATCGCACCGCAGAAAGCGAGCTATGTAATTCAAAGTAGCATAGGTAATTTAAGATAAAATGAACGATTACCAGGAAGAAAATAAATAAAAACAAATATATACGTTGAAGTCATTGATATATATCTAACCGATATGAACCGATTTCATTGTAGTATGTAAAAAGGCAATCACAGCTGGCGTTCGATAGGTAATTACTCTAGTGCCGCTAACGAGCGACTAATTACAAATGCCAACTGCGCTCACGGCACTGACACACGTAACTAAAACGATCGAGCTTTCTTATTAGCGAATAAATCGTAACGTTTACAGGGGGTAGGGGGAACCCGTTTTTACCAAGAGTATAACTTGATATACTCATAATCTATATGTATGTATATACATACTATTCTGAAATACTTTCCTTCACGGTGCGATCGGAAGATCGGAGATCTTCGTTGAATGGCATGAACTTCTTTCAAAAGAGAATACGAGCCTTTCAAACTCTACTTACAAGATCGTTTCTACATTTCGACGCTCCGTTAACGAGCTTACTCGAGTTAACTACCGATTTATCGTCGCTATGAATTTTTTTCTTTTCTTTTCTTCTTTTTTCTTCTGTTTTTTTTTTTCTTTTTGGTTCGCTTATTTAAATGTACGAGTTACGTAAAGTTCGAGGCATATAAATTCGTATCTCCAAAGGGGAAAGTGGAATATATCAGTTCGAGTGAAATCGAGGGATGGCATTCTCAAGTTTAATTTAAGTGTCTTTCTATTTCTTCTTTTTTTTTTGTTCAATCTTGTTATGGAACACAGGCTTTTTATTAATATCTCTTTCCTTCTTCTATGCTTCTTCTTCTTTTTCTTTTTCTTTTTTTTCTGCGACTTTATCCTAACGCAGGTTGCAGCTGCAGACGCATCGTGTGGGAAGAGATAAGGAAAGAAGAAAACTCTCTCTCTCTCTTTTTCATTCGTGTGTAAACGTCCTCGTAACGCGTGGGAATGAGTTTCCTTCTCCATCGTGGAAGTTTTACGCGATCCTTCCTTTGTGTGTATGGATTGCGTGAAGAATGCGTTCTTCGACCGATTACAGGTCATTATCTTTTACCGATGGATTTAAATCACTCGCGTGACCCGCATTAAAATTAATTGTCCGAGAGCACTGACCGACCGGACGAGATTGCCAAATTTTTTACTCACTTATTAGTCACCACGAGAAGGATACTTATATTTTTATTTGGTAATGTATTTTTATTTATTTGTTATGAATATTTTGTTAAATAAATGAACTGTATGTGTACCGGTATCAAATCAAATTTTCTAATAAATATTTCCATATTTAGCGTTTCTATTGATTTATTAAAAATATTATTTTATTATTGTATTTACAAAGATTGTCATTTAAATATTAATTATAAATGTTTAAATATATATAAAATGATACATATCATCCAACACTCGAAGTTATTTAATTCTTTTGTCAAAATATGAAACATTAACCGAGTTTATTTTTCCATTCGTATATTATTTGTTTTCCCTCTCATTGCACATACTAATTCTTCGTTATCGTTATATAATCCTATGAACAAATAAGATTATAATTAAAAATAATTATAAATATCTCTAATGGGACACGTGTTACAATTCGTTGTTATCCTTTATATTCATATTAATCTTTTATATCTTAGTTGTTTTTCTTTACGAACTATATAATAAATTTAATTTACTTATCTAAGTTATCTTAACATCATTTATATTTTACTGAAGATAATATAAACTGTTATTAACCCGTCATGATTATATAATTCTCCGATAATATAAATGAAGTAAAAATGCAATGCTATACATACTTAAAATACACTCACACATTATATTTACACAAATACAAATATAATACTTTTACTTTCAAGGTATTCATAATTTCCGATATTCCTTGTGCTATCAGTGATGACACAGTGTACTACGTTTTAAATCTATTTTTCACGTTACTAAGAACGAGGAAGTGACGCTTCGTTATGTAATATAATAACTTCCGCGAAACGACGAAATAGTCGTGGTAGTTGCGACCATTAGAGAACACGATTATTGTTGTTAGAAATGAATTGTCACAGGTAGAAAAGCCGAATAGCTGACCTAAAATTCAAGAGAAAGAAATTCGTAAGTTATTATTGTTGACTTTGTTGTATCTGAGAGAATTTCAAATTTTTGTTAACAATTATGTTGAGACTAAATGATAACTAATTTCAATTAGAGAAATTTCATAGTTTCTAGGAAACAAATTTATAAAGTAATTATAAGTAGTTGTCCATTCTTTCATTTTTTATCACATTTCTTTATATTTCTATTTGAAATAAATATCTGTCAATATAACAGAATTCGTAAACCTTCTCTGAGTTTTCTTAATTTCGTAAGGTAAATTCTTCTTTGCCTCTTCGCATACCTTCGCGTATACGATTGAAGTATAAGACTAAATACGCGTATAAAATACATGAATGTGTAATAAAACAACTCGTTAAAACATCAAATAGCTTCTTTTCCCCTTAAAAACGTATTATAACTCTTGACGATATCTTTGATGCATAAAGTTTTTGATAATCCATTATATTAAAACGAATGCTATTATTAAGAAAATTTATTAATGCTAGTCAAAAAGTTTTAGAGTGTTTCGAAAAAATAATTATAGAAGTTTCTAATAGTAAAGTAAGATAGATAATGGAATCTTTATTTGTATTACTGTAGATATAATAAATGTGATAATAATAAGTGCATTATCAAAACAAAACAATCACTGATTAATTTCATTTTCTATCTTTCTCTTTCCCTTTCTCTTTGTCTCTCTTTTCAAGACTTTATTATTTACTATAAAGTTTCTGAAGATAATTTCAAGCTTAACTTTGTTTCCTTTTAAAATTAGTAATCTGCATTTGTTATAATAGTTACGAAAAATAAAAACAAGTAATTATTATCGAATACGATTGATAATTTTTAATCCGAAAAAATTTGATTAATTCTTTAAAGGATGAGATTTAAAAAAAAAAACTAAAAAGATTTATATGACAACAACATTGAACTCATATTAAAATGTATGTAAAAATAAGATTTATTTGAGTTATTAAAAAATAATAAATATTATTTCCGTGTTTTTTTGGAATTACCAAATTTCAAATAATTCAAATATTTCAAGGTGGCACAAAAAGAATATTCCAGTAAAAAAAAATATACGTCACTTATATAGAATACGATACAAAGAATTAAACTAGTCCTAATATAAATATTTATGACCAAAATGAAGAGTCCAAAAACTAAAACAGTATACCCAGTTATCGATAGTGGTAATGTACGTTCTAAATACGATTAATCATTAGATAGTATGTAGTCTAGTCGAACCAGTTTTCTGTCGTTAAGTTCAGTAGCTAAATGAACATTACGACGACGACAATGACGACGACGAGGACGACGACGACGAGGACGACGACGACGAGGAGGAGGCACGGGTCCGTCCACTCGGTCGGTATAACAGCAAGATCACGACATAACGGTACAAGGAGACATTCCTCGTCGGCTGATTCAGTCCTATTGCTTGTTTGTTGTTCGTAGTCGATTGTCACGCATCGGGTCGGTCAAGGCCCCTTCACTTTTTTCCTTCTCTTACTTGCACGTTTTTTTTCCTATCTCTTTCTTTCTTTTATCTTTTTTTGTATTTCTTTCTCTTTCTCATTTCTAACTCCCTCCTGTGTTCCTCATCGTCATCGTCAACAACAAATATCTTCAGCTTATAAATGGTCAACATAACCTCTTCGATCCGAGTTTACTTTGTGTTTTGTTTTTTACTTTTTCACAATTCTTATCATCTGATTATTATAAACCTTTTAACACAATCATAGGAATATTAACGTTAATAAGTCACGAATCAATCTGTCTTCGATTGATAATCTGTTTAATATCGATCGAAGAAATAAAAATTTAATCGAATAATAATAATAAAATACAAATACACGCTATATATTATTACTACTTACATTGATACGTGACATAACGTTATATCAGGTGCCAAGATCGTGAACGGAAAATACAATTTACCACTGATACACGTTTAAACAGTTAACAATTTTTCTTTCTCTCTCTTTTTCATTGGATATATATTTCAAGTTGCTATTGATATCGTGATTTGTAGATTGCAACTGAAGAAAATAATGTAAGAAGCGTGAGATAAGACGATCTTGTTTAGTAGACAACTAACCAACAAGTTTAGATTATATTTTATGGATGAACTTCGTTTGTTTTTAATCCGAGATAAACAGTAGAACTTTCAAATCAAATCGTATATTAATTTCCATAGTATTTTCATGTGTTCATCTACGAAATATCATATTTTACAATTAGAAAATTACAATTTATCAATACAATTTCAAAGAAAACTACAAAATTGATTATTATTTTGTAGATAAGATTTTTTAATTTCGTCATTAAATATTTGATTGAAATAGAAAGGAACGAAGATGAGAAATCATATGGTAAGTGTTGCTTATCTTTTTGACATAAATCATTGGAACCATTTAAACGATTATCATCATTGGAAGTTATTATTGGATAAATTATCTATAATCTAAATTATAGGTCAATAATTTATCAAAATTGAAATCGTTAAAAAACGAAGTTAGTGGAAAGCGATATTTAATTTATATTAAACGTTGAACTTTAACGTTCTATTCATTTCCATCGCAATTTCTATCGCGTTTCCTTATCGTTATCTTTTTTTGAAGTGAAAAACTTTACGCGTGCGAAGTTGAAGCAAACACACACACACACAACATACACACACAGAGCTCGTGAATTCCGCGAGTTCGATCGTTCGTCGGCTCGCTTTCCAAACGAAATCTGTGCGCACGGCCTTCCAACAGAGGGAAAGTTGAAAAAAGTTCGTCGAACCTACAGCAAAATTATCTACCGTTGCAGAGTTCTAAGATAGTTGGGATCGAAACAAGATTGCAAAGAGAAATATATACAGAGAGAGAGCTTTTGAACTAACTATAAATTTCTTCTTTTCTTCTCGAGAACTTCGCAATGTAATTAGACAAAACAATATCTACCCAGATTATAAAAAGGCCGAGGAATATGAGTCAAATCAATTTATGATTTATATTTAATAATTGTGTGTGTGATTAGTATTTATATTAAAATATATATGTTAATGTTAATATAAATTAATATTCATTATAATTGAAATTATATTGACATCGTATCAAAATAAAAGAAAAATGATAAGATTCAAATAAGATATTTTTTTTTAAGTATATTTTTTTAAGTATATTTTTATTATTTTTTATTATTTTATTATTAAATTATTATATTATATTATTATTAATTAATAAATTATTATATTAAATATTAATATATTATATTATTATATTATATTATTTTTTTATTATATAATTATATTATTATTATATTATATATCTTTTATTTTATTATTTTTTAAGTATATTTTTTATTAAATATTAATATATTATATTATTATATTATATTATTTTTTTATTATATAATTATATTATTATTATATTATATATCTTTTATTTTATTATTTTTTAAGTATATTTTTTTAAATAATTACGCAGGAAGAATTTATTTCATGTTATCCTATTGATTAAAATATTGCAGTATAATAATAATATAAATGTAATATAAAAATATAAAAAAATAATATAAATAATATAAATCCAGTATTAGATGGGGGTAAGGATCACTATATTTATATCTATTCAATAACATAATATAATAAATTGTAAAATATTGTTCATTTGAATCACTAATTGTAAGAAGGATTTAATATTAAAAGAAAGAAAAAAGATTATTTAAAGAAAGAAAGAAAGAAAGATGAGAGAGAGTTGTTATGTATGTGGGTGACAGATGGAAGAAATAGAAGGTGAGAGTGAGAATAAGGTAAGTAAGGTGGATTAGCTATGCGTAAGACTGGACGTTCGCCAAGGTCTCGTAGAAAGAGGGCAGTCTTGACCTCATCTTGGTCTCACAGTGCGGTATCAGCGTCGCGACTTATTGTCGGTTCGCTTCAGGAGTCAACTACGAACCGTGTCATTATGTGGCTCTCGTAAATGTCGGTACCGTTTGTCATAGAAACGACTTAGGTTAGAGCCAATGAGGAGATCGAGAACAAGTACGGTGAGTCTATTTCGAAGAAAGTGAACTTAACCAAAAAAAAAATAAAAAACAAAACTTCTCTTTTTCTTTCATTTTAATTTCTTTTCGATTCAAATATCGTCCTTCCAAGGTCGAATCTCTGTTCGATTAAATTATTTTCATCGTTCGACGTTACGCTTGAAGATGAATTTATCGAAATGAGATAAATCGAATATATTATTAATCAAAATGAAGTTTGATTATATTCAAACAAGTACATCTCAGTCAAATTTTAATTTTTTTTTTATTGAGAATTTAAATTGGTTGAAAAGTAATTAAATATATATTTATTTATAAAAAGAAAGAAAAAGAAATAAAGAAAATAGATTCGAAGATTAAGTTTCTTATAAGATGAAAAATATTAAAAGATAGAATGAAAATTAAAACGCGGATCTTGTTGCAGCAAAGTACAGTCAGTCGATCGATCCTCCGGGCAGAGTGAAAGGCCGTATTCGTGACTTATCAAATACTTTGCTTCGTCGATTCTTAAACGATCGAGGTGCGAGACTGGAATAAAGTTGAATCGCCGCCCCTATACTTTCCGAACTCGTTCAAAAGATAGAAAGAAAAAGAAAAAGAAAAAAAAACAAAAACAACGAATAAAGTGAAATAAAAAGTAACGCGTAGAAATAAAAAAATTTAAAAGAAAACATGAACATAATCGAAAGAATTCGTTTCGCGCGAGTCGTTCTGGTTCATAACCAGAATCGATAATATCGATACGTAGGAAGGGACGTTACGAAACACAATCAGTCGTTCGTTCTAAATATTTTAAAAAGCACCTTTTTTTTTTTTTCGTTTTTATTTTTTATTTTCTTTATTTTCTTTTTCTTCTTTCCACGAGCGTTACTGGGTCGATGGGCGGGTGAGAGAGACGGGTAACGGCAAACTACTAGATGCGTTTCGTTGTTATAGAAACAATGCGGTGGTTACATCAGAACGAACGAATGCCGATTATGCTTGTAATGATCTCAGAGACGAATGGGGCGATGTCGAAAGGGGGAATCTCTTTCGTTAAAGTTACATGTTTCTCCATCGATTCTTTTTTTTCCTTTTCTAAAATTAATTTTTCCCTTTTCTTTCTCGCTTATTTATCGATCGTTCGTAAATAGAAAAAAAAAAAAATAAAATAGAAAAAAGATTACGAATGTAAATAATATCAACTCATCCGTATCTCAATTTGTTTTTCTATTTTCCTTCCTTCTATCCATTCTACGCCTTACTTCAATTGCACTTTTCTTCGATCTATTGTTCGAAAATGTCAAACCTCCCGCCTTCCACACTAGGAACTTTCGCCTAGTTGACGCATAGTACATGCTCGTGGGCAGTGGACACCGTTACATTTATTGACAAATGTATTCACTAGAGAACAATTTGCAAGAAAGCATCTATCAATGTTTAATATATTTAACATATTGATGTATTTACGTATACAAAGTCTATGTCAATTTGAATTGTTTTCTTTAAAACATTATAGTACGTATATCTATTGAAAATAAGTATATTTACTTAGATATTTTCTAACGACATTTATAAAGAAAACAGAAAGCGAATAACACTACTGTAAGGATTCCATAGTTTTTGTAATTTTTTTTTTATGCTTTCCTATACTTTCTCTTTTTAACGATCAACTAAACGAAACGATTTTCGGAAGAAAATTTTTAATAACGTTCTCTATCATTGCGAGATAATGTCGATAACAAAAGAATCGTTCGTTCGATCGAACAATGTAGAAATTTTAAAGATGGGCGATTATTATTTCGAAAAAAGACAAATAAAATATTGGTGATATTGATCGACTATACTATTACAGGTACGATAAATAACAAGGTCGGTTGATAAGTTATGCGTTAAAAATTACGTAGAAAGATATATATATATATACATTTACACGTGTAACATTTAATTCGAATTCATCGATTGAAAGAAAATACATTGAGTTTATTTTTAAAAAAGAATGAGAGAAACAAGGCCGTTTGGTCGACTTCAACGAATTCGGTAGTCATCGCTAACAGCAAACAAAATTCATTTAATCGTTTTTCAAACATATATAAATACATGAGAACGATCGGTTGCAGATTGTATCACCAATTTACATACGATCTCGATATAAATTTGCTTAGTTGGCATTTAATTAACCGAAGACGCGCATCGTAATAACCGGATATTAAATGTCCTTGTACTACTTTGTTCATAAAATGCAGAGTTTAAGTTTCTCAAAAAATAATAAGCCACGGATTGTTGTTGTCAGACTTCAATGCCGCGCGGTTGAGTTTTATCGCAATAATATGACTGCTGCAATTATTTTAGAATAAAACATTGCGAAAGAGTCCCTTCCCCTCCCCTACCCCTTCTTTTTATGCATGTTTCTATCTTATCGAAAATACGATCGATCGTTTTAAATCAAATTATTATGCTTACTGTGTTTTTACATGTGTATTACGAATTTATATTCTTATGACCGATGTTTGTAGTATAAACGAAATCACAAATATTATTCTTACAAACGAGCTCTTCAAATGATATTTAAAAAATTCGAAACAGATGTAACCCCATATACCAGATATACCCCCATATACTACTTGCGCTTACTATATGACGCAACGATTAGATCTAATTGCTTGAAATCATTTCTGATTTCATTACGAACCTTTCTCTGTAGGTAGGTACATAAGAACCGTTAGAAATAAGGCGTAAATATATTTTACGATGTACTAAGCGACGTCGAAGATCAAGGAAGGTGTAGAGTTGTAAATAAGTAATCGGGATTGCGCTTCTAGCACCGGATTGACTCGGCAAGAATTTCAACTTCAAAACGTTAACGCGTTGATACACACCTATTTTCTGCATTCTAACATTCTACGAGCACGTCACTGTACATCTGCATAATATTCGTCTGTAAGGAAAACTATTACATGGCTATATAAACATATATATCTATATATATAGAGATATATGTATA